AATGATGGACCAAGAATATTACAGCAGGAAGTTTATTCCGCAATAACACAGTTAAAGGATGGCAAAGCGGCAGGCCCTGATAATATACAAGCAGAACTACTTAAACTAATGGACAACGAATCAATAGCAATAATCGCAAAGATATTCAACAACAAATACAACTCTGGAGAAATACCAACAGAATGCCAAGATGATGCAAATACTAAAAGAAGCAGGAATTAACAACCAAGATCCGAAAATAATTAGAAAACTTTACTGGAATCACCACTTAAGGGTTACACAAGCTAGAAGAACAATTGGCTGCCTAAATGGAATACTTTGGAGCTCTGAAATAGGAATAAAGCGAAAATATAACATCTATGAGTCACTAATTAAAAGCAGTCTACTTTATGGAGCAGAAACTTGGAGAATAACCGAGAACAACAGAAAAAAAATTAGAAGCTGTAGAAATGGATGTGTTTAGAAGATCGTTAGGTATATCCCGCAGGGAAAGAGTTCGAAATGAGGAAGTAAGACGAAGAATTGGAATAGATGGTTACTTAACAACAGACATTGAGAGGAAACAGTTGATTTGGTATGGTCATGTTCAAAGAATGGAAGACACAAGACTACCCAAGAAGATTATGCAGTGGGTACCACCAAACCGCAAAAAACGAGGAAGACCCAAAAAGACATGGAAAGAAGGGGTAACTAAAGCAATGAGTACAAGAGATCTTAGAGACGGCCAATGGGATGATAGAAGGATGTGGAAGTTAGGCATCGGACAACGTCGAAAGACGTTCCAAAACCGATATATATATATATATATATATATATATATATATATATATACTGGAATCAGACAGCAAATCTCAGAGTTGAAGGTGAACACACTGACTATGTGAAAATCATGCGTGGAGGGAGGCAAGGCTGTATTTTGTCTTCTCTAATCTTCAATCTGTACTCTGAAAGAATATTTATCGAAGCTCAGCACGAAACAAAAAGGTATTCTACTAAATGGTTACCGGCTAAACAACATCAGATATGCAGATGACACCATAGTATTTGTGGACAATTAAGAAGACCTACAAGTTCTTATGAATAAAATCACGTATTACAGTCAACAATATGGACACAATATAAACGTTAAGAAGACAAAGCTTATAATAATCAGCAAGAAAAGGATAACAGAAGGTCAACCAATCTCCTGTAGAAAGAGTGACGCACTACAACTACCTCAGCACCATAATAAATGAAGAATGAACCAATAACCAGGAGATTAGAGCACGGATTGGAAAAGCTAGATCCACCTTTAATCGGATGGGGGCCTTCTTCAAAAGTCACAACCTCTCTCTTGATACAAAAGTATGCTGCGATGCTCTGTCCTTTTTATGGTGTTGAATCGTGGACTTTGAACGAAGATATGTGCAAAAAACTGGAAGCATTTGAGATGTGACTATATCGGAGGATACTTAATATCCCGTGTACTGACCGAGTCACAAATGAGGAGGTCCTCAGAAAAATTAATAAAAACCGAGAGGTATTGACCACCATTAAATCTCGAAAGTTACAATTCTGCGGACATATTATGCGAAATGAATCCAGATATGCTCTCCTTCAAGCGATCCTGCAAGGAAAAATATTTGGAAAGCGAGGTCCAGAAAGAATAAAAACATCCTGGTTAAAGAACCTCAGAATCTGGTTCAATACAACATCTGTGCTGCTTCAGATAAGATCAAGATTGCCATGATAATCGCCAACATTCGTAACGGATAGGCACATGAAGAAGAAGAAGAATTTTCTGTCATTGTTCAGTTTCATTGTGCTCACACTTTATGTTGTATTTTTTTACATTTTAAATTTTATAGATTAATTCCGTTAAAAAGGCGTTTGTAGTTGTGGCACTAATGTGTTAGCCGGGGCTGCCTTAATACTTGCATATCGTAAAAACGTTTACTGCGTAATAAAATATAACATATCACTTAAAGATTTTTAACTTAAGATATTTTAGTCTTCTTTGGCGTCACGCTAATGCACCGCTTTCTTTGTGGAACTGCACTCTCCTCGGGTCCTGATTTTTTCTGTTATTAACTCCTGGACATCTTCTTTTATAGGTACTGTAGTATAAGACATCGTACCTACTTCCCTCAGTTTGTGTATGTCTCTATGCATTCTCTGTATTCTGTTTCTATCGAGGATATCTCTGGTCTTAAGGAGACTTCTTGTGGCTTGGTGGAAGAAGTGTCTCTTCCTGTTTCTAGCCAACTTTCTCACTGGTGTGAACTGGAAACTTTCTTGGATGGTTGCATTTGTAATTCTGTCCTGCCATGTTAATTTATCTATGAGTCGGTAGCATGACGTTTCTGTGATCTCGAGTTTTCTCTAGTTGGTTTCGGATGTCGAAATCCATACTGGCACTGCATATAACATCACAGTATTAACGTAGGTCTGGATACAATGTACAACTGAATATTCTTTTAGTTAGCCTTTACCTTGATTGATTGAATGTGTAGTCTTAGTGAAGTTGAGACTTAAGTAAAGATTGAATTTTCAGACTGGATGATGTCTTCTCCCATTATGAGATTTACTACAAGTGGGTTCTTCTGTTGTGCAGAGATGATGAATTGTATTTTGACGGTGTCGATTTTTATTTTTCACTTGTCCGTAAATTACGATATTTTTTTCAAGTAGTTTTTTAACTTTCGTGTTATTCTTTTGTCTTCTTTTCTGGTAATATAAATTGCGGTGTCATCTGCGTATAAGTCTGTGTTGGTTCTAGAGTCAGTAGGTAAACAAAGTATGAAACAAAAATATTATAATTCTTGCCCATATGCTGAATATAAAGTACGGTATCTTGGAAGATCAAAACAAACGATTCTAATATGGAAGAGAAAAGTTTTGAGAAACAGTTTTGATAAAAACTTATTTTATAGCCTATTTGTCACCTAAGAGGAGCGAACGATTCAGACCAACCAACATAGCATAGGGAGGTACAAGCAGGCTATAAATAGCGCAGATATTCGACAGTCACTGTCAGGGATAGAAAGAGAATACGACTGTTGCCTCATTAACTTTGATGATATTTGCCGCAATTGTAAGAGTTGTGGTGTTGGACCCTCACCCGGCTAACCCAATCGATTTTCCATGTTGGACTTCGAAAAATAAACATTGTACTTTTTCGTTCTTTATTGATAACCCAAAACTACAACCGTAACCCAGGTCAGTCTGACAGCGTAAACAAGAGACAGTCTGTTAACTACTCTAACTACTATCAGTTGCTTTTAAATACTCAATCTATAATTTCTGCTGTTTCTACAGGGTCACACAAGAGGTTTTTTTACTGTTAACTTACGTATTGTTTATTTGGCATTGATATGAATCACGAAATGCTGTTGGATACTATGATGTTATTCTCAAGCTTGTATTTTAATACGCTGAATATAAACGAAGGCGAAACAGATGTGAGTGCTACAATCAATGACGAAGAAGTAGAAGCAAAGATCAAAAAGCTAAAAAACAGAAAATCACCGGGAACGGATGGTATACCCAATGAACTTTTAAAATATGGAGGCCCGGAGCTTGCAAGTAAACTGGCACAACTATTTAACAAAATATTAAACAAAACAGAAACACCAGAGGAATGGCATAATAGTATCACAATCCCCATATTTAAAAAAGGACAAAAAACCTGCCCACAAAACTATAGAGGAATAACCCTCTTAAATACAACAATGAAACTTTTCACGGGTATTCTCAAGGACAAATTGGAAAAGCAAATCACTAATGCTGAAGAACAACAAGGTTTTACAAAAGGGCGGTCTATAACAGACGCAGTATTTATAATAAAACAAATAAAAGAAAAAGCTATAGAGTTCGGCATGCCAGCGTATATTTGCTTCATTGATTTGACGAAGGCATTTGACAGAGTTTGCCTGGGAGACATTCTAAATATATTAATAGAAAATGAAACACCGACCAGTATAACAAAGATACTCCATAACCTAAATAACAACAACGTAACCAAAGTTAGAGCAGGAGACGAATTCACTGAAATCTTCTTATGGGCAAAATTATCAACAGAGTAACATCTCTTAATCTCGGATATAGAATGGGCAACAAAAGAATTGGTATGGTGTGTTACGCAGACGATGCAGCAATTATTGCCGAATCAGAAGATGATCTCCAAAGGCAGCTCTTTCAGTTCTTTCAAACAAGCCGACTACTAAATCTCTACCAACAAAACTAAATGTATGACAATAGCAAAAGATCCGCTCAGATGTAAGTTAGTGGTTGAGGACAACCCCATAGAACAGGTGATGCAATTCAGATATCTGGGCATAGATATATCAAGCACCCACGACCCAGTAAAGGACCTGAGGAGTCAAATCAACAAAGCATCTGCACTGTCAGGATGTCTGCGGAAGATAGTCTGGTCAAATCCGTATATGCGCACAGATAGTAAAATTAGAATCTATAAGACTTGCATACGACCGATCATGACATAGTGCGCGAAGATACCAACAAAACGAAACAGATGCTAAGGGTTGCCGAAATGAAAACCCTAAGAACAATAATGGAGAAAACAAGAAGAGACAGAGTGAGAAATACAAACATTAGAGAGCAGTGCAAAATTCAAGATATTGTAAGATGGGGAAGGCAGCGCAAGAGGATGTGGTACAACCATGTAAGACGAATGGATGAGAATAGACTCCCAAAAATTGCCCTAGAAAACAATCCGCCCGGTTCAAGACCCCTTGGAAGACCACCTAAAAGATGGAGGGATAGTTGGCAATCTACCTCCCAAGAAATTAACCAGAGGCAGCTTCAGAATTAAACAGATCGAAAGATCTACAAAAAGTAGAAGTAGAAGAAGAAGTATTTTAATAATTTTAATAATTAAATGTAAGTCGATTCCACAGAGTCGATAAACAAAAATTAGTACACAAAGAATACATTTCATAAAGACGAAGGCCTATTGATTTATATTGTTTTATAATTTTTAAAATATTTGAACATTTCAGGCTGAAAACCCAATTGCAAGTGTTTGCTTACTATTGTATTATTTAAAAGATGGTATCACTATATCTAGACAGGTATGTACATTTATTTATATTTCTTCACTGCCTGATCTGTAAAGCTCACAAATCCTCCTTCACGTTCTGCATATTGAATCGCTTCCTTAGTCTACCTTTCCTTCTATGTTTTTCGATTATTTCGTATAAAATTTTCATTTAAGTTCTCTCCAGGAGTATTCTTTCTACGTGTGCAAGCTACGCCTTGAGGGTCAAAATTACTTATAACTTTCCAAGAAACACCTTCCATTCCGTAGATCTTCCGAATTATTTTTACATACACAACATTTTTCATACACCAGATTTTAACAGCGAAGTAGACAATTTCGCCGCTGACAACAGTAGCAATATCAGTCAATAACAACTTAATTTTAATTTCCCTGTGCAGCAATATGGACTTTAGTAGATTAACATTGGCACACCATCCCCAGTTTCTTGTCATAATTATTTTTGAGATCTTTTGGCTTACTTTATTCTCCTTTATGCTACTTCAAGATTAAAATATCTTAAAGTATTATTCTAAAAGTTTCTTCTAGCTAGATATTTTTTTTATTTATTGAACATTCATTTATAAAAGGTATAATAATAAAAACCCTATCAGGGTACACCACATAACTTTTTCGGAATAACTATTCCATCATCATTGTTATCCTAAAATAAGTATAAGCACTTTAATTCAATCAAACATTAAAGTTCAAAACTTTGACCAAGGTTATTGCAAAAGATAAGATAATACGAACAATAACGGAGAAAGGTTAATAGATATATGCGATCAGAATGGACTCAGAATCATGAATGGATATTTCCAACATAGAAACATTCATAAATATACGTGGACTCAGGAAACCCGAAACTTAAAATCAGTTATAGACTATGTTATCCTTAAACAAAATAGTCGACTGAAAACAACAGATGTAAGAGCATGTAGAGGATCCAGTTGCGACAGTGACCACTACCTCCTACGTTCAGATATTTCCACATAAAGAGAACAGAAAACGCCGCAAGATAACTATAGAAAGGAGCAAGTACCAAAAGTACGATACAATTTGAATAGTTTACACCAAGAAAGTGTTAGAAACCTATATAAACGTAGACTGGAACAAAAACTAATTGAAACGGAAGATACTACCAGGAATGTTAATCAGTTATAAAAAAGAATGTATACACGCCGTTGCCCTAGAAGCACTAAGGCGATATGAAAAGATCGAACAACAAAAGCCTTATTGGTGGGATCAAGATATTTCGCAGGAAATAACACAGAAAAGAAAATTGTATCCAAAATATCTCAACACAAGAAATGTGGAAGACAGAATCGAAAACAAAAGAATGCAAGCAACGGTCAGAAGAAAAATATGCCAAAAGAAAAATGAATCCTGGGAAAATGTGCACCGTACTAAATACATACATTGGGGGAAGCCAAAGTTCAGAAAGCTGGAAACTGTTAAAAAATTTAAGAAACTACAGAAAAAGTTATATTATCCAGTCCATATCACCGCAAACTTGAAAAGAATACTTTAAAGATTTACTAACAGATACAAGAAAGCCCTTCAAACAACTAGGGAACTATGGTCTACAAGGCGTCAGGCTGATAGGATCACCAATCAGAATAAATGATAGAGAAGTCGAAACCGTATGCAGTCATTTACAGAATGGCAAATCACCTGGCCCAGGAAATATAGCTCCGGAACTCATCAAACATGGACCCAAAATACTAATTCAACGGCTACGACAACTTTCCAGGAATGCATAAATAAATATGAAATACCTGAGGAATAGAAATAATTGCATATAAGCACCATCCATAAAAAGAGAGATAAATCGAAACCTGAAAACTATAGAGGAATTGCAGTTACTAGTAGTATTAGCAGAATATATGGGAAAATAATAAAAAATCGAATAGAAGAAGAATACCAAGATATGAAAGCCGAAGAACAGGCTGGTTTTGGTGCAGGTCCATCTACAATAGCCCATGTATTCTCCATTACTTAGATAATTAAAAAGAAAATTTCTCGTAGCCAAGAAGTCCACCTGACATTCATAGACCTTATGAAAGTATATGATAGTGTCCCGCTTAATAAATTATGGGGGGCACTGGGGAAAACAAATATAAATATAGAATTAATTGAAGCTGTAAAAACGTTGTACTACCAACAAATAACAAGTAGTAAAACAGGAAATCTGATAACACCGGGATTCAAAGTGTCTAAAGGACTAAGACAAGGATGCTGTATATCCCCAAAATTATTCAAAATATACCTCAAAGCAGCACTCAACAAATGGAAGAAAAATGTCCGACTATGGGCATACCACTAATGGATTTAATTTTTTACACTCTGTGCTTTGCTGATGACCAGGTCATCATCGCACAGGACTCTGAAGACCTTAGTTACTTGATGCGAAAACTATTAGAAAAGTTTACAGAGTGGGGTTTGAAAGTGAATATAGGAAAACTGGGTACATGAGTATCGAAGGAGATCAACATAACCTTCTCATAGAGGAAAATCAAGAGATCAAACTATGTGACGACTACAAATACCTAGGAGTAAAGATCACTCAGGACGGAAAATTAGATGCAGTCATTAAGGAACGAAATACACAGGGAAGGAAAGGCATAGCCTTACTGAACAGCGTAATGTGGAATAAAAACATCTCTACGGAAAATAAAAGAAGAATATACTATACCATAATAAAAAGTATCACAACATATGGATGCGAAGTGTTGCTCCTAAAAGACAGAACAGAGAAAATGCTTAGAGTAATAGAAATGAACTTCTGGCGCTGCTCGGCAGGAATCTCTGGACGCGACAGAATAACAAGCGAGAGAGTCCGAGCAATCATGGGCGTTACACATAATATTGTTGATGACATCAAAACGACACAACTCAAATGGTACGAACACGTAAGGAGAATGCCAAGACAAATTCTTGAATGGCAACCAAGAGGTAGGCGGAGAACAGGAAGGCCTAGAAGAAGTTGGAGAGAAGGAGTTGATACAGAAATCAGGGAAAGATAACTGGAGGACGATCTATAGAACGATAGAATGAGATGGATTGGAAATCGCAAGACGTCGAAGATCGTTGTAAACCGATATTTTATATATATATATATATATATATATATATATATATATATATATATATATATATATATATATATCTATATATATATATATATATATATATATATATATATATATATATATATATATCTATACAGTATAGGTAAAAGTTTATGGTCGGTATGGACCTTACATGAGATGGAGTGAGAAACAACTGTTTAAAAAGAGAGAGATATATTAGGTGTCCGCCTTTTATATCACGGAACATAAATGAGTGGATATGGAGTGGATATAATAAAAAGGGGAAATTCAACGTTGCCAAACTTATTGGTTTTATTTGACCTGTTGTCTTTTTCGCATTTGAACAATGCTCCAAGATAATGAAATTTGGGCGAAATGGATTTAAATGGCAGCTTATTGTTTTTTATTGGGAATATGCCACAATTTTACTTTACAATAAGTGTAATATAACATTTTGATTTATACTTCGGAAATCGTTTTATATAAATAAAATTTATTAATGTTTGGTATTTTAAAAACGATTTCCGAATTAAAAATCTAAACATCAAAATAAGCTTATTTTAAAGTGACATTATGCCTTATTTCCAATAAAAATATTAAACTGCATATAAATAAAAAAGCTTCCTACAAAACTATTTGCCAACGTGGCGTGCCGCGTGGTCAAATCACCGAATCAAAGGGTAAACAGGTATTTACGAATAGAGGTGGGTCATTGACGTCGCAAAACCGATTTTCGTAAACAAGTAACTATGATTTATTAATAGTAGTTTCAAGTAAGAAACTACCTACATAAACAAATATAATGGCTATTATCGTTTATCTGTATATTTATTGAAGTGAAGGAAACTAATAAAAGATTTTATTATAACCTGAAAACTAAACTAAACAATACAAATAGTAAATCGTACCTACGTTTACATTACACGTTATTATTAAATCACGAATCGTCTAAATTGACATTTAAAAACATAAGTTTTTTTACTTTACTTCTTATTAATTGTGTTTTTCTTTTATTTAAAATTAAACCTGATTTTGAACATGTGTTCACATTTACAATACTTTATGAATATAGTGGTTAAGTTAGGAGATACATGGCGATGGTTTTTTCACCATTGTAATGGACTCTCGCTACAGGTGTACGTTTAGATGAGTCATGTCCAATTAATTGATCAAAAATACACCATGGACTTAAGTCATATTTATCGGTTTCTTTTTCTTATACTGGTTGATTTTCAATAGTACAATCTTCTTGTTCTTTAATTATAGAAGTAACCAGCTTCTTAACTCTTTCTTTTGTTTTTTTAGCGTCATTTTTATCAGAAAATCCCTGCACTTTAAATCGTGAATCCATAAACGTACATAATGACAATATGCCACTGTATTCTATCCCTCTAAATATTTTTGCTAAACCCGAGATTAGTAATTATCCCGTAATTAGTAATAAAAACCCGTACTACGTCGGATACTAACTATGGATGTAAGGTTACTGTTTGCTAAAATTTTATTGCAAGATTTTTGCAGGCAGCGTATCAGAACAATCACTGAACTATCATTCAAGTATTTTTGGCCACTCATTGTACTTGTTATTTCTTTAAAAGGCCGTAAAATTTAGGACAATTACGAAAAAATAATCCAGTCTTCATTATTTAGATTTGGTCTAAGTCTGTATTAACTGATACCAATGTGGAACGGATTGCCTCTTCTAACTTCGTCATTCTTTCTAACATGTAATAGGTGAAGTTCTACCTAGTTTCCACGTCTTGGATTGGCCGTTTGGGATCTTTGTTATGTTGTAATTGATACTTTAAAGGCGTTTCTGAAGATAAGGTACTTTTTTGAAATGTGTTTTTTGCCGAATTGTCGAAAAAAAGACTTTTTATTTTATCTATTTGTACACGACAGCATTTAAGTGCGTCCTCCATCAATAAATTTAACGTATGAG